CAGAATCTGTCACTACTCATGTTACCAGTGAATAGTTTAGTTTTTCAGTTTATTGACTGTAACTGTTAGAACTAATAAAGACCAGTTTCACAACAAAAAATCGATATAAAAATCATTGTATTTCTGTACATAAACAATGAATTATCCTAAAAGAAAATTAAGAAAACAGTCACATTCAAAATAGCAACAAAAAGAATAAAATACTTGAGAATAAACAACCAAAGAGGCACAAGATTTGTACACTGAAAAGTATAAAATGCTTGAGAAATGAAGATAAAGATAAATGGAAAGACATCATGTTCAAGGATTAGAAGAATTAATATTGTTAAAATTTCCATACTATTCAAAGTGTAATCTCTATCGAAAATGTAATGTCATTCTTTGAAAAACAGGAAAAAAAACCCTAAAATTTATGTGGAAGCACAAAAGATCCCAAATAGTCAAAGCAATTTTGAGCAAGAAGGAAAATGGAGGCATTGCACTTCCTGGTATCAACATATATTACACACCACAGTAATCAAAACAGTATAGAACTGGCATAAAAGCAAAAATAATAGATCAGTGAAACAGAATACACAACCCAGAAACAAATCCACACATCGATGGTCAACTGACATTCTACAAGGGTGCCAAAACACAATGGGAAAAGGATAGTCTCTTCAATAAATGGTGCTGGGAAAATTAGATATCCACATGCAGAAGAATGAAAGTAGGAGCCTTATATGCCTTTATACAAAAAAATGAACTCAAAATGGATTAAAGACATAAAATAAGACCAGAAACCATAAAACTCCTAGAAGAACATCTAGGGAAAAACTTCTTGACATTGGTCTGGGCAATGATTTTTTAGATATGACATCAAAGCACAGCCAACACAAACAAAAATAAATGAGTGGAGTTGGATCAAACTAAAAATCTTCTGCGCAGCAAAGAAAACAATCAACAGAGTGAAAAGACAAGCTATGGAACGGGCAGAAATATTTGCAAGCCACATACTTCATTAGAGGTTAATACCCAAAATATATGAGGAATTCATATACCTCAAGGAAATTAAATCACTCTCTGGATTCACGTTATAATTAAATTGTGTTAATCAAAGGAATAAAGAATATGTTATTTGTCTTTTCAGTCCCCTTCAGGATTTTAGGTCCTGTTAAGTGGTTGGCAAATTAAATTATATCATATTACTGAAGGATGGCTACACTGGGAGCTAAATTCTGAGGAAATGCACAGGTAAATTACTAACTCTCAAATTATGTGGATTATCAATCATTACCAAGTATATAAAATAGTCTCCTTTCTGACAGTGACTCTACAAGGACCCATTTGTCAAATATTATTCTTGCTTATCCTCTGAGAATATTACACTGAGGCTGATACACAACAAGGACGCATTTGTCAAATGTTATTCTTTCTTGTCCTCTGAGAATATTACACTGAGGCTGCTACATATAGAAGCGTGTCTTTGGGTTGCTTGTTGACTCTGAGTCAGTTTCTTGTGTGACCTAATCAGAGTTGTTACGAAGTAGAGAAGGGTAGAGAAAAGGGGCTAACCTGAGTGATCTCAGTACAATTTTATAGGACATGAGACTCCTCCAAACACCACCTTCTTTTATTTTCTGAATGATCTAAATTCAAAAGAGGAGAAATAAATCTTTGAGCAGAGGAAATAAACATTTCTTATTCTCAATGTATGAAATGATGAAAGAGCCATATATTAGGAGGCAGAGATCTTTTTTAAGGATCTCATAGAAGTGAGTATTATCTCTCCTTTAGGAATTATTTTATATTCCATGACATATTCAAAGAAATAAAACATGGGTGGCAAGAATATGGATACCTTGTGACATCTGGACTCATGTACAGGTTGGTATTTTCAAGAGGATGTCACTATAGTGATCATATCATGTGCTTGTAAAAAAAAAGTTCTTTGGAAACCAATGTGTGTATCCATTAGTATATGCACTTTTTATCTTTTGCAATGTTGTATCTATGCACCCATAATATATTTATTGAGCATCTAATAAGTCAAAGATAGTAGTCTAGACGTTGGATTATAAAATTCCCTGTACATGTATTATGTATTTTTTTTACCCTTGGAAACTCAGCTATTGTGTACTCTTTGAGTCCAAACTACAGAAAATTTCAATTTGTTGTGTTATAGTTGTTCTTCCTAATGGAACTTTTTGCTTTTATCCTTTGGATATCTATCTATATATCTATGTAATATATATGATATATACACACCTCCATATATATATATGTATGTATGTCACATATGTACTTATTTATATATATGTGAATTTCAGTTCCCAAGACCAGAAGTCACATTTTTTTAGATTCCATTCTAGGTGCCATTTATTCAAGCAGTCTTTCTCTCAGTCACAAAAATTAATTAGGCTTATTGCTGTTATTTCTGTAGAACGCATATCCCACTCATGATGATTTACTGCTTTACACTAAATTACTTCTTTACAGTCTGTTTTATAAGGTAAATCACTCAAAAAGCCATATCTGTGCAGTTCAAGAGTTTTTCACTAGAGAAAAACCTAGGTTTAGTAAATGTAGATGCCTAGAAAATAATCCATCAATTAGTGGTTATTTGGACAATTCAAGTGTGTTTACATGATTCTTGCAAGCAGATGAAAGAATAAGTATGTACTTTTTATGAGTGCGTATTATATTTATAAGGACTTGTTTAAGACGTTAAGAAGTGTATTTATCCTCAAGAGCTGATGGCATTACTACTCAGGGTCACTGCCTTGATGGAAGATGAAGGAGAACAGAAAACTTGTAACCAAGGATGTCTCTACAGACAAATAATTTGTAGCATCATAAAGAGTCCTTTTCTTTAACCCCCCCAACCCCTGCCTCCACACTCACCCATGGGCTTATCCCCATGGGTTCTCTGCCATGGAGGCTCAACCCTCCACTGAAATCATGAGAAGTGTAAAGAAATATGCTTTATTCAGTAACTGATATTTTGGATATCATTAGGTCAATTTATCAATCAAGTAAATGAACTGCTCTGTGTGTGTCAGAATGTGGGTCTCTGGAGAAATAAATGAAGGAGCACAAGGAGTGTCGATCTCCATAGTGAATTAACGTAAGTCTAAGAAACTGAGTATGAGAAGGTAGTGAATGGTGTTAATGTTAAGAAACATGTAATTCATATATATATAACACACACACATATATATGTATGTATGTATTATGTATATATGTGTGACCACACATGTATGTATATATTAGTCTCATGTATATGATCTTGTTTATATATTTTTCAAAACAACATACAATAATGTCTTTATTTTGAGGGTACACAATAGGAAAAACATTGGAAAAAAGTGGCATCATAGTAATACACTATACTTCATATTACTCACATGCAGTATGGCAAATGAGATCCAGAAGGCATGGACTATATCATTCTTATTTAACAACCCATTGCAAGGGTGTTAGTAATCATGTTCACATTTGGAAGTATTCCAAGGGATATCATAGTCTTACAACATGTAGTCCTATGAATTTTTATTTGTCCAGATTTAATATGTAACTCCAGAAGCTTGATTGCCTGCATTTTAACTTTCTTCCTCTTAAATCAGGAGATAGATATTATTTATTTCTATTCTCTAAATCATTTAAGAGCGTGAGTTGTGCATTCTTCTGCCTAAAGAGTCCTTTCAGTAACTCCCCAAAGGTTTTACAAGGTCTCTACTTGATGACTTACAGTGAAGGGAAATCTACTCACTCGAGAGAGATACTGAATAAGAGATTGAAGAGGACATTTTCAAAGTCCTACTCCATCTAAATAGTTTCTGATTATCACTGATGTGAAAGCAACCCATAGAGAGAAGTTAAAGCTCAAAATGGGTTTGGAAGGCACTTCTGCATCTGAGGAGTAATATACTGCATTATTCAGCTTGGGGAATCTGAAGCATACTCTCTTTAGGCTCCAATTTATCAAAAGTCATATATCCATAGTTTAAATATAACTGTGTACCTCTCATGTTTGATGCTGGATTTGGCATTTGGAAATATGTGTATATGTTAGCAATATAATTTTCAAATAGGTATCAATAGGAAGGAGTGGAAAGGAAAAATAAATACTATGTAGTAAATGGTATGAAAAACTTACAGTGAGTGATGGATAAAAATATACCAAGTTAGTTTTCTACAACGGATTTGTCACCATATAATCAATGGAAAATTTGATGTTTTTCACAAAGTTCTGATAGAAGAAAATGAAGCAGAGAATTTTAGAATATTTGCAAGATAATTATTTATGCAAATAATGTTTTTCTAAAATGAACAGAAGGAAAAGTGAAGGCAGTTATTAATATGGAGAAATTGCCTTCATCTCCTACGACTTTTTCTCTTGATTTGTTAAGTTCCAAAAGCACTGACATTCACGTCTATTTCTATTTGTTCCTGCTTCACAGCAATTTTTCTCGCTATTTCCATTCCCAGAATGTGTACTATCCTAGATGGAGTGTGAGCTCCATCATTCAGATGCCAGCTTATATGTACAATTCTAATCACCCACACATACCAGTTATTCTCATTGTTATAATGCTTTTCTTGTAGAGTGTACCCTCCATGAGAAAAATATCTGATTTGTGTGTTACTTTATTTCCAGTGCCTAGAACATGATTGGTTGTACAGTAACTTGTTAATAAACAGTTGTTGAATAAACAGAATCCTTTTACTGGAAGTGGATGGATAAGATGACTTATATACTCCTATGAAAATATGAAATTATGCATGAATTATCTTTTTGTATTTCAAAACAGAGTATTTGATATGATGTTACACATTTTATTTCTCTGCTCCTAGGGAATTTAAATACACCTGATTATGAATTTGAACTGTTTTTTAACAGCAGATCATTAGGGATATTCCTGAGCTCAATCTCCATGTTTTCAGCATCTGGTTGTGATCATCTTGGCATAGCAACTTTACCTTCAGAAGTACTGATAAAAAGCAAAGGAAAGACCATAATGCCTCCTCTCAATACTTCTCATCGCGCTCCTGTAACCTTCTTGCTGATGGGTATCCCCGGACTAGAGCACCTGCATGCCTGGATTGGGATTCCCTTCTGCTCCATGTACGTGGTGGCCCTGGTGGGGAATGTGACCATTCTGGCTGTGGTGAGGGCAGAACGAAGCCTGCACGAGCCTATGTTCCTCTTCCTCTGCATGCTCTCGATCACTGACCTGGTCCTCTCCACATCTACACTGCCCCGCATGCTCTGTCTTTTCTGGCTCAGAGCCCATGACATTGCCTTTGATGCCTGCCTGACCCAGATGTTCTTCATTCACAGCTTTACTACCATGGAATCGGGTTTTTTCCTGGCCATGGCCATTGACCGTTATGTGGCCATTTGTCATCCACTGCACCATACCACCATTCTCACCTATGCTCGCATCACTGTAATGGGTATCATTGTGGTGATTCGGGGGGTGGCCTTCTTTTCCCCACATCCCATTCTGCTCAAACAGCTGCCTTACTGTAGGACACGAATCATTGCCCACACCTACTGTGAGTTTATGGCTGTCCTGAAGCTGGCGTGTGTGGACATAGGAGCCACCTCACGTTATAGCCTCAGTGTGGCTTCTATCATTGGTTCATGTGATGCAGTTCTTATTGCTGTGTCCTATGTCTTCATCCTCCGCTCTGTATTCCACCTGCCATCCCGAGACGCTACCTTTAAGGCTCTGGGCACATGTGGATCCCATGTTTGTGTCATTCTTGTCTTCTACTCCACAGCTGGTTTTTCCATTTTCACTCATCATTTCAGGAAAAATGTGCCTGCACATATTCATATTTTTATTGCAAATATGTACCTTTTGGTGCCCCCTTTTCTCAATCCTATTGTGTATGGAATAAGGACCAAGAAAATACGGGAGCATGTTTTTAAGGTGCTGCATGTTAAAGTTGCCTGATTGTAGCTGGATCAATAAAGACATGATTCAAGATATACAGAAATACAAGAGATGATGTGGAGAAAATAATTAATTGCTGTGACTTCCATAAGCTGAATTGCATAAACCACCTGAAAGTTGTTATTTATCAGATATCAGATGTCTAGAATAGCTAGGAATTCTCACTCAACAAACTATTTTAGCTTTTCATTTAGTAAATATTGGTGACAAACTTGTTAATTTCATGCTAGGTATGTACCCTTTAGAAGTAGGCACAATAGGGAATGAATAGTAGGTAGAAGGAAGAAAAACTGAAGTAGATACTTCCCTTCCCCCCCCTAAAAATGGAAGAGTTATCTCAGATCTAAATGCTGAATTTTATAGACTAGGCAGTTTGAAAAAAATTTTAAGCCATATATATGTCTGTGATTTTTTAGAACAGGTAATAGATGTTGTAGCTCTAGTCTGAATCAAATTAAAGTCTTGAGATAAATAAATAGGACTCATAATAACACACAAAGACAGAACAAAGATAATTAAGAAATGAGCATTTTCCTCAAGGAAAACAAAAACAAAATATGAATTAATAAATTCATAAACATGAATTTTTGTGAAGGTGCCACCATTGGTGTTAGAGCTTCAGTGGTTTTTACAGCAACTTTGATAGAGTCAGGGAGTATTTTATAAAATAAAGCAATATCCTGGATTCTACTGACTGGAAAAATGTAATTCATATTTTCCAAATTTGATATTTACTAGCAAAAATTACCAAACTACCAGATTACCATTTGCACTGAGTTTTCCTCTTTGATTACTTGACTTGGAACCAGTATCAAGACACAAAATGTGAAATCTCTTTATCAGCAGAGTCAAAATATCACCCCTTTTTATTGCCTTAATACCTAGGACTAGCTTCCTTCTTTGTTCATTTTGTTTCTCAGATTTTATTAGTTTCCCAGCTATATATTTCTCTTCTTTAAAAAAATATTATCTAAGAACTATGGAATATTTGTTTTCCTGGAAGCCATCAAAAAAGGGAGTCTGATACTTGTGCTCTGAAACTTTCCCCCACCCTTGGCTTATTTATCCTAGGGAACTTACATCAATAGCTAAACACAAAGACTAACATCTCTGCATTCACCAATTACTCTATAGTTTAACTATAGGTTGATTGTACATTTTTCTGTTTTGGAAAACTAAACATATTTGGCACTATTCTGTTGACACAGGAATTCAGGAATGGAAGCAATTTGAAGGCTACATTAATGAATGCAATTTAAACATGGTAGGTTTGAGATTCATGTAGAATATTAAATTGTATAGGCCCTGAGGGAGAATGTCTCAGCTAAGATAGATATTCATGTATCTTTATCATATAAATGGTGGTAGTTGTGGGGTCTGAGTAAATTCACTCAAGTAAAATTACATAATGATAAAATTAAGACAATCTGAAAAATGCTGACGTTTTTGCTTCCATGAGAAGGATAAGTAATACCCTCAATGTTAGGTCTTAATAGAATCAATTTATCAATTTTCATCCAACCACCTTTCTCCTTATTAGAAACCCAGAGCAGGAGGCTTCCCATCACACCTGGGATTTCCATCCCATCTGCCTAGTCTTTCTAAGCTACCTTCTTGCTCTGACTGGGAATTGTGTCCTTGTGTTCATCATCAAGACAGACCCCAGTCTGCCTGAACCCACTTACGTCTTCCTCTGCATGCTCTCTGTAAATGACCTGATGTTTAAGGATCTCTCTCCCTAAACCTCACTTTCTTCCTGGTCACTGAGAGAGATCAATTTTAAAGCTTACCCTGCTTAGGTATCATCCGTCTACCATGAGACCACAGAAAGACAACAGTGATTACCCATGAGAAAGAATGAAAAATTACCAGAGCAAAATAATTGAATTACAAGACAGGGTAGCTTGTATCACACAAGTGGAGAAGTTGGCCTTTGTAAGGACAAAGACAGTTCATTCATAGCAGCAGAAAGTCAGTGGTATTTGAGCTCTGAGGCAGACAGATGTGTAGACAAGGATCTTCCCTTTCCTCTTTTTTTCTCTCAGTGAAATTGGAATCGAGGTCATCATCTAAACATGGGGTTGTGGGAAGAGTGACAGAGGTTTGAATTAAGAGAACATATAAAATAATTTTGAGGAGACTGAGAAATTAAGAGACTTCAAAATTATATGTAATATTAGGGGCCGACTTGATATAGTAAATGTGAATTCAAGGTGAGACCAGAAGCTTGGTTGCAGAAAATATTTTCTATAGCACAAGTGCAAGCATGGAGTGGTCTGTTATATAAATGAGCTAAAGATGGCCTCTGTATATAGGCCTTTCTGATCTAGAGACCGCTTATCTTAGAGTCTATGAGATTGATATCCCCACGATTGTGTAGATTTCAACCTGTGTGACTGCATATAAACACCTAGACTGGCCTTGTACTTATTTTGAAACATTTACCAATATGATAAACAAGACAGTGGAAGAACACAAACTGCAATAGAAGTATAAAACATAAGCATAATTTAATGTTAAAAAATAGTCCTCCTTGAAGCAGTGACATTCCATTGTAAACTTAAAATGAGTGAGAGATGAGAAGGCATGGGTGAGAGAGATGGGGAAAGTATTAAAGGCAGAAGCAAAAGCACGAAACAGAATTTAAAGAAGACAGTGAAAAAAGTCTGGTCTTTTGTTTTTCCTGCTGTGTAGCACAAAGCGATGCCAGAAGGGTAATAGGGACCAGATTATGGTCATTTTGGATATTATCAATTACAATCCGTAGAATTTAACCACTTCATATAAGAAAGAATATAGACTTTAATTCAGTCATATTTCATTTTAAAATTTTGGTCATATAGTAGTTAAGTAAATAAAATATGGACTCAGAGATACCTGAATTCAGATCCTGATGTCACCCTTCACTTGCTATAGAATTTTACATAAATCATTTAATCTGTCAGTCTCTGTTTCCTAATCTGTTTAGTGGTAATTTTCTATTTCCAAAGGCTGTTTTGAAGATCAGTGAGAGAAGGGATTTTAAGCACTAAACTAAGGGATTTTAAGGACCTAGAAAACAATGATCTCTCAGTATATGAACATATTTTTTTCTCATGACTCTATTATGGTTTTATAATATTTTTCTACAAATATATTTTCTACCCAAGCACTCAATAGTCCTTTGGGAAATAATAATGTCCTTTTTCATTCTCTTAAGGGGTAGTTAATATTAATTACTCTACCCGAAAGTAATTTAGGTCTTCTAGTTTGGGAAAAGTGCCCATATCCTGGAGGACCACTGATTCCCCTGCCACCTACACCGTTTAATCCAGTGGGATTTGGCATTGGGTATAAAACCCAGCTCGTGTTCAATGAGCATACTTCTTAGCATCTGCCCCTTATATAAGCTGGCTCTTTGGATGACTCTCAGCTTTTAATTTGGGTGAGTTGACAGAGATACAGGACAGGAAGAGAGAAGAAAGGGCTGCATTCAAACAGTTGCATTTAAAATTATGAGATCCTCAAAAATGTAATGTCCATCTCTTCAAATACCCTTGGTAAAGTTAAGAATAAATACTGTAGACATAATCCACTAAGAAGATGCAATGGACCCTTTCTTCCATCACTGATGTAAATATAGTCTGTTGATTAGCTAAAGTATAGGGAGCATATGGTCATAGGTACCCCAAGTGAGAATTAAAGTAGCATTAAACCTGATTAACCAGAACAAGCTTTAAGGTCAGAGACAGCTCTGAGCAAAGAACAGCCAGTTTCTTCCCACTGGACATTAGATATTGATCAATCATGGCAAACAGTATTTTGGGGGGAAGAATATTTAGGAGTAAGGTGAAAAAAAGGTGTCTGTTTACAGAGATGATCAGTTGGGTAAGACTAGGCTATAGCCAACCTTTTCTATTTCCTTTGCTTTCAAAACACTCCAGACCACTACATTCTTTTAGTCACATTAGCTATTGTTATTTTTGATGTGGTTAATCTTCAAATTAGTTATTCTATACAGACCATAGAGAGTAGAATATATAGAAAGACTTCCATACTGAAACTTTGTGGGGAGTAAAAATTTCACCTGAATAAATTTTCTAAAAGAAATCTGCTGACATCTCTCTGTCTATCATTCCTACACCCAGATGTTGATTCCTGGCCTGAAGTTTAGGAAGGCTAATAATTCTGAGAAAAAATTCAGGGTGTGGTCTGATAGGTTTACTGGAGTATTTTGCTTGTGCTTTTAAATATAAGCTTATTTTAATATATCCATGCATATTTGAATGCACTCATTTGAGCATTGATGTGGTATGCTTGTTGGGGCCTTTACATATATGGTATTCAAAAAATTAAAGAGCCCCTATGTGTTTGGATCTCTGGATATATTATACCGTAATTTATGATAACATATGAGCAAACTTCAGATGTAAATAAATCTGATTGTCTCTTTAGACATATGTAAATACAGCTATCTAGATCTTCTCTGAATTAATATGTTAATTTTTATAATTTGGGAGGCAACAGAGAAGTGTGAATAGTTGTATGTTTCTCTCAAAGCGGAGATCTAAGTAATCAAGATCTTCTTGCCCTCAGATAAAGCAGTAATTGACCTGAAATCCTCTTTTGATTAATTGCTCTCTCTCCATGTGCCTGTAGTCCTGTCTTCCAATCATGGCAGAACAAAGATGTAATAAAGATCTGCCAAAGAGAGGAAGCCCTTTTATTTCACTAGGCACAGAGGTGGCAGGGACAATTCTTTTGTCTTAACTCTGATACAAGACATCTTGTGGTAATCTCAGTTAATATAAGAAATAGTATCATATTAAGAAAATCTTAGGAAACAGCAGAGAGCTGTAGCTAAGAATATGGCTTTGGAGTCTCACAGACTACGCAGCTACTATATTCTTTCAATCATCATCATCCAGTGCCAGCCTTTGGGCTAGGTTATGGTAATACCTAGTTGTGACATAGTTTCTAGACTGAGAAGAATTTAATCTTATGACAGAGATAAGCATCGT